GAGGCCCCCCCCCCCCCCCGGCTGGTTGGGAAGAGAGTGGGAGGGAGATGTAATTTTCACTCCATAGACTCTGTGTGACTTTTGAAATGTGAACCAGGTGTATGAATTACCTTCATCAGAACCGTAAGAATGCTCGTGGAGAGCTTCCTCCCAGCTGTAACACGTCCCCTTAGATATCAGGGCATGGCTCAGACGTTTTCTTCTCTGGGTCATCTTTCTCAATCCTCCCAGGCAAAGCCAATCGCTTTCTTCTCCGTGTGCCCGTCTACTTTTGTTACACCGCTTGTACGAGGATGCTGTAGCCTGACTCTGACAGGTGAGCCCTCGAGGCTGGGGCAGGATGTTACTTATTTCTGTAATTCCTATGGGAATACTTGCAATATTTGCTAAATGGAGTCTACCACACCATCCTACCCTTTTCCCAGTTTGAGGCCCCTGCAGCTTGTTTTCACCTAACTTACCTGTATAAAGATGAGCAGATGAAGGGGTCATTCTGGGATTTTTCCCCCCATAGGTACTATCATCCCCTGTGCAATAGAACCTTCTATTATAATGAAAATGTACTCTGCCTGTGCTGTCCAATACACCAGGTGCTAACCACACGTGGATACTGAGTATCTGAAATGTGGACAGCTTGACTGAGGAACTGACCTTTTAATCATTTCATTTAAATAAATTTAAATGTAAATAGCCGCATCTGGATAGCAGCTACTATATTGGACAGCTCCTTTCTAGAGCTTTCTTCCTCAAGGGGACAGCCTTACCGGCCAAACAATACACCCCTTAAGCATGTTTGATTTTGAAACAATTAAATTGAGAGCAAGGTCAACAAAGTACTTGTTCCTAAAGTAAAAATTCAGTTTATTCATCTGTTTATGACACAGTACTCAAAAGGCAAAGTGTTTCACATCATAGATTTCACTTCCAATTCCTTGGAATATTCATTTCTTTTACTGTAAAGAGAGACTAGACCGGAAAGGCAGGTAATGCTTAGGCAACTAAACTAAGGATGGAGCAGGTGGGGTGGGCAGCACTAACATCATCCTCCCAGGGATGGGCACAAGGGGACTGTTAGCCACAAGCTGATTGTGTAGGACTGTTAGCTGGGAGCGCAGAGCAGCCGTCCTGGACCCTCGGGCCATTGAGGGCTTCAGTCATCCCCACCGCACAGGTACAGCAGCGCTTTCTGGTAGTCACCCTTGGTGTCTTGCTATAAGTGGCCAAGGAGAAAAAAGAAATTCAGGGTCAGGAGAAAGACCCACAATCTGCAGAAACACACAAGCAGGCCCACGACACATGGAGCCTCTGTGGGACCTGCCCAGACACACCCAAACCATCAGAGGACCCTCAGGGATCGCGGCCCAGGGGAGATTATTGCCACAAGGGTAGAGAAAACACAGGGTCCTGGGGATTAATATGGTAAGTGACCAAGGACAGAACCCAGTCTGCTCCTCCTGCACTGAGGTCCTGCAAACACCACCCGTTTTCTCCCTGGCCCGCATCCTTTCAGAGAAGACATGCGAGGCACCTTCCTGCCTGACTGTGTTGTTTCATGGACTCTTAAGGTCACGTGGAAATAAGCTGATGAGTTAAGGAAAGAATTACTGAGTCTAAATGCTCCCTGAATTTTAAACATATGCCCTAGTAAACCTAGTTATAGCAAACCCAGCTCTAAATTCACCCCTGGTAACCACTGACACGACTTTGAAATTTTCAGTATCTTTCAGAAAGAAGGGTTTGCAACATCTATCTAAATTAAACACAGTGGGAGGGACCACGGTGAAGGCAATTGCTTCTTATATACGAACACTCCATCCCTCCAAAACAGGGACAGGCTAAATGGGGAGGGGAGAGATGGGAATTCTGAGTGAGGAAATGTTGCCAGGCTTATCACAGAGGAGTTTCAAGAAATTGAAATATAATAAAACGTAGATTAAATTGATCTAAGTCTTTTCAGGATGTCAGCAAGTCTTCCAGGATCACTGTCATGAGCACCAACTGTCACTGCAGAATAGGTGTGGGAAATATGAAATATTTGCCTGGTTCTGTAAGATTCCAGGACAAATCCTAATAGCACTTTCAAAATAAATCCCTGATATTTGATGAGTAGCATCTCTTCCCTGTGGAGTTAGAAAACAGAAAACCGCCATTCTGCCATTGTTCTTTTTTTTTTTTTTTTTAGGGTACACGGGCCTCTCACTGTTGTGGCGTCCCCCCTTGCGGAGCCCAGGCCCCGGACGCGCAGGCTCAGCGGCCATGGCTCACGGGCCCAGCCGCTCCGCGGCATGTGGGGTCTTCCCGGACCGGGGCACGAACCCGTGTCTCCTGCATCGGCAGGCGGGCTCTCAACCACTGCGCCACCAGAGAAGCCCTCTGCCGTTGTTCTGACAGGCACCTGCCCAGTACTCCCAGCTCTCTGATGGGTCAGGTGGGGCCTTACCTGAATGTAGTAGTACAGGGACTTGCCGTACTTTTTCTTGAATTCACATCTAATTTTCAACATGTCCACTTCACTGCGGGAGATCATGATTCTAATCAGGACCTTATCACGAGTGCCCTTGCCCTGAAAGTCAAATTTACGCTCCAAGTTACAATTCGCTGACAATGTTAATCATTAAAAAAGAGTCTAGTGAGTTCTCCTGCACATGGAACTGATTTGGGTTCCTGATGCCGCCCTCTAAGAGACTGCAAAGATAACCGCAAAACTGCTCCCTTAAGAACAATGAGCGCCTTGGAATTCCGAACACACCAGCATGAAATCGGCACAAAGCCCCCCTGCTGTACATTCAGTAAACATGAACTGAGCGCTAACCACTCCAAGGCTCAGGTCAGGAAGTGCGCGAGTTTACGTATGTAACACAAAGCTCCTGGCTCTCGGGGGCTTAGAGAGCACATGCTACCACGCTCACCGTGGCTCTATGCCATTTTGAATGGTACAAGCAATAAGGACCACTAAAGTTTACATCCAGAACCTCAGAGCAGAGAACGGGTCACACTTGACATGGAACCTGAGGGGAGACGGGAGAGAGGCAGTGTGGACAAGGGGGTGACCCAGGGAGAAGCGGCAAGGGTCTGGAAGCCATAAAGCACAAGGCACATCTAAGGCATGGAAAAGGGGATGCGACTGTGGGAAGAGACAGTCCCTTTAAGGGAAAACTGCAGGGCTGGCTTTGGAGTCAGACAGTCCCAAGTTCAAGTTTGGCTATGTAACCTCAAGCAAGCTGAAGCTTTCCAAGCTCCATTCTCCTCATCTAGAAAGAAAACAGTCACACAAGCCTCACAGGTTTTTTGGTAATGATTTAAGATAAAGTAAGTAGCACAATGCCTACTGCCTAGTGGTTGCTTAATAACCTCTCTTCCTTGTTTGTCCTTACTCTGGGGTACCAGGAGGGAATCACTGAGAAATCTGAACAGGAATCTGACATGGTCACCATCTAGCATTTTCTCTCTCCCGTGGCACTTTGCTTTCTACCTGTACACAAACACATGTTCAAGTACTTGGGAGAAACAGAAGACAGATTTGTGGTTTTCTCACCTGTCACATAAAAGCAGAGCTGACTAGTGTGTTCCTGCACCTAGACAGTGGGGTCCCTTCCTCCATCCACTAGTCAGGAGCTTTAGTCTGGGGCACAAAGGAAGAAAAAGCCTAGTGTGGAAACATGGACCTCTCGGCCAGTTGCCCTTACCTTCATGGAGTCGTACAGTCTGTCAGCAAAATACAGGGGCTTGTTCTGAATGCACTGGACTGTGGAGAGAAGAAAAGGGTCAGTAACTCCTTTCTCCTCCACCAGTGGGGGGTGAAGCCCTGACCTGGGGCACCACCAGATGACCAGACGTAACAGGAATGGGCTCTGCAAAATGGGAAATGCTCAGGGAAAACCAGGAATCCTCTGAATCAGCCAGCTGTGCTTTTTTTTTTTTTAATAAATGTATATATTATTTATTTTTGGCTGCACTGGGTCTTTATTGCTGCAGGCGGGCTTCCTCTAGTTGCGGCGAGCAGGGTCCACTCTTCATTGCAGTGCGCGGGCTTCTCATTGCGGTGGCTTCTCTTGTTGGGGAGCACAGGCTTTAGGCCCACGGGCTTCAGTAGTGGTGGCGCACGGGCTTAGTTGCTCCGCGGCACGTGGGGTCTTCCCGTACCAGGGCTAGAACCCGTGTCCCCTGCATTGGCAGGCGGATTCTTAACCACTGTGCCACCAGGGAAGTCCCCCAACTGTGCTCTTAAACCAGGGGACTCTGAGCAAAGCAGAAACCCAAATGGATGTGTGAGCTCCCCCAATGGAGAGAGCCCTTTCTCTGGTTATCTTTTTTTTTTTTTTTAGGGTACACGGGCCTCTCACTGCTGTGTCCCCTCCCGTTGCGGAGCACAGGCTCCGGACGCGCAGGCCCAGCGGCCATGGCTCACGGGCACAGCCGCTCCGCGGCATGTGGGATCTTCCCGGACTGGGGCACGAACCCGCGTCCCCTGCACCAGCAGGTGGACTCCCAACCACTGCGCCACCAGGGAAGCCCTCTCTGGTTATCTTATTCCTCCTGGGCAACACTCCATTCTACCAACATAAGCCCTTCTTCAGTTCCGTATCTTAAATTCATATGGTGAAGATTATGAAAGTACCCAAATCATGTAAAGAAGCTATGTCTCCCAAAGCCACTTGAATTAACAGGATGGCCATTTGTTACTTCTGCTTCAGCACAGCTAGCTGACTGAAAGCTGATGTCCACTAGGGATGGGGGGGCCACGCCTGCTTACCTAGGTTCAGGAAAGCGTTTTCCAGGTCTCCTTTAACCTCCTTCTTGATGCTCTCCAGCATGTCATAAGGGCTGTAGCTCTTGTACCTTTCAAATACTAAAGAAAAGCAACAGATGATTATTATAACAGAGCTACTAGTCAAAGCTATCAATGGTTACCCACACGGTTAGGCATCACACACACACACACACACACACACACACACACACACACACACACACACACACACACACACACACACAAAGATGATGATAATCATAGCTTCCTAGAGGGTTAGGGATTGCCACGCAGACCAGAGCTGACACTGTACCAGTTGCCCTGGGACAGCCGTACCATGCACCTGTCCTAAATGGCACTGCCCCAGCCACATATTTTGACCATCTTCATCTCTCCGGCGTGGAACCCACTTTATCTGGGGCACGAGAAACAGTACGTAGCACCCAACTAAGTCCATTACTTCAACAGATATAGCAAGATAAAAGGATCCAGACGAGAAGAGGCAGCACAACAAAGCACCAAACATGAAAAGTATTTAGGGGAAAAAAACGACCCAAAATGGGAAAGAAGGATGAATGGACTTGGTGAGGAAAAATGGGTGAGATTAGAGGGTACAAAGGGTACTCCGTTCTGGCAGATCCAGCTGGCCCACTTGAGAGGGCCCTCCGTTTTGGCCCTGGGGCTCTAAGACCTCCCCAGCACAGCACTCACCTTTCTGGAGGTGGCACACACTCCGCTCGGTCATGATGCTGATCCACTTGGGAACATCAGTTCCTCTCTTCTTCACGCCAGCATCATAGAGATCCTACGAGCACAACCGACCATGAAAGTTAATTCTGCAATCCAGAGCAAGGTCATTAAAAACCCGTCACGCAAAAAACCCCAAAACCTATACATTCAGAATGCCAAAATGAGAAAGGACGATTGCACTGCAGACACAGGAAAAATGTGCTATTTAGGTCAAAAGTCTTAAGAGCAGTCTTCCTGAAGCACAGACATACAGCATGACAGTAGGTTGTTCGTGAGGGTGATGCTGTAGAAATCTCCTTCCCTGAACACCGAAGGGATGACCAAGAACCTCTACGCATATACAGAAGGACAAGCCAATGCTCATTAGCACATCCAGCTCTCCACCATTTGGCACGTTCAATAGCACATAAACTAATGGTCATCTACTAAAGACAGCTACAAGTCACGTACCCAACCCCAGAGAGACTCCAGAAATGATGGAGCTGAACAACAACAACAAAAAGCTGGTCCAATCACATTTTCAGTTTCTGGAAAATTTAGGGGCTATAAGTAACGCTAAGCATGGCAGGGAAGGAGGGAGAAAGGCTTATGCAAGAGCCAATACTTATTCAGTGACCATCCACTATCCGAGAGTTGCAAAACCCTTTTCTAGGGACCTCCCTGATGGCGCAGCGGTTAAGAATCTGCCTGCCAATGCAGGGGACACGGGTTCGAGCCCTGGTCCGGGAAGATCCCACATGCCGCGGAGCAACAAAGCCCGTGCGCTACAACTACTGAGCCTGCACTCTAGATCCCGGGAGCCACAACTACTGAAGCCCGCACGCCTAGAGACCGTGCTCCGCAACAACAGAAGCCCCTGCTCGCCGCAACTAGAGAAAGCCCGCGCAGCAAAGAAGACCCAACGCAGCCAAAAATAAATAAATAAATAAACTTAATAAAAAATAAATTTAAAAAACCCTTTTCTACCTCCTGCTAAGTGAGCTATGTGAAATATACTGAATTTTAAAACTAAAATGGATTAAAATTAATTTTGTTCTTCAGCTCTTATGAAATACTTCGAGACAGCTGTCGACCCTCTGGGAAAGGCATGTAGTTCACAGTGATCTGAATCAGCTTCACAAATAGTTCTGGGTGATTATGGAATGAGAACCAGCAGTTCTATTCAGCCAGAAAAGAAGGAAGGGCCTCTGCCTCTCTCACCTCTTCCCCCACCACCAAGGGCAGTAAAGCCTTCCTATCCCTGCCTGTGCCTCTACCATCTCCTCCCACTGTTCTGTGTTGTGAATTCTATTAGTGTGTGTTTGTAGCAAATGCCCACCAGTGTGAACACCAGCATCACACCCTGCAGAAACAAGCAAAGCCGAAATGAGCAAATGTGAGTCAGAAATTGATCCTGTAACCGACACCAGCATTATAAGGGTATATCCCGTTATAACTACAGCTTCCAGAAAGTGACAATGAAGCCCACAAATTCTTTGACCTTCCTCCCTTCCAAACGTGGAGCCTACTTCCCCTCCCACTGACTGGAAGCTAGACCTAGTGACTCGCCTCTAATGCACAGAGTGTGACAGAAGTGACAGTGTGTGTGACTCTTGAGAGTACACCATAAAAGGCACCTGGCTTCCTCCTGGCTGTGTCTCTTGGATCACTCACTCTGGGGAGATCCAGCTGCCATCTGTGAGGACACTCAAGCAACCCCTTCGAGAGGCCCACGTGGAAAAAGAGTAAGGCCTCCTGCCAACAGTCACATGGGTGGGGGACTACATGGGTGGGTGATCTGGGAAGCAGATCCTCCTGAAGCTGTCAGGCCCTCAGATGACGCAGCCCTGGTCCACGCTTTGTCTCCAACCTCAGGAGAAGTCCTGAGCCACTTCCCAGTTCCTGACCCACAGAAACTGAGAGATAATAAATGCTTGTTGTTCTAAGCCACTGAGTTTGAGCTAATTTGTTATGCAGGATGGATAACTATACCCACTATCCAGAGACTAGGAAACAAAACCCCAAACATCAAGAAGCTTGGCACTGACCCGGGCATCTTGGTCAATCAGTTCATAATCAATGACAGAGCCATCCTCTGCTCTTCGACCCTACAGGAAAAAAAAAAAAAAAAAAAATTAAGAACATCAAATGTATTTCTTTGTACATTTTAAAACTGAAAATGTTATTTTCTCCCCAACTCATGTAAGCCACTATTTACTGAATAAACACCCTCCTGAAATTTTTCTTCACTTAAAAGTCTAGGTTAAAAAAAAAAGTCTAGGTTAAAAAAAAAAAAGTCTAGGTAAGACCAAGGATTGTTACAATAATTGAGGCAGTGAAGTGGGGGCTATACCCTCTTGTTACCCAGTTTTTGGCTAAGCACCTTACAGAATCTACCCTCCTCCCCCTAAAAAAGGTAATGATATTTAGCTCCTTTCTTCAGAGAGCTCACAGCCCACATGGAGAAATACACATGGAATAAATGGTAATACAACACAGTATCTGTGGCTCTAAGCAGACATGAAATGCAAAAGAAGGCAGAAATCTGTCAGGCAGAATCGTCAGCAAAGCCTGTGTACAATGGCGTACAGCTGAGGCAAAGCACAAAGGCTCCGTCAGATGAGGCTGGCAGCGGGAAGCAGGAGAAGCCATTCCGCCCAGGAGGAGCGGCACAGGGGAGTGATGTGCGCCCAGCCGAGGAGAAGGTGAGCAGGAGGGAAGCCTAGCGAGGAGGGCTAAGTTACGGAGGGCCAGTGGACAGAAGACACTTAAAGGCAGTTGAGAGTTTGGATTTGATGCAGCACAAATGTGTGTTGATGAGGAGCTTGGTGCAAGTGGATTTCAAAAAGCTGGGTGGGGGCTTCCCTGGTGGCGCAGTGGTTGAGAGTCCGCCTGCCGATGCAGGGGACACGGGTTCGTGCCCCGGTCCGGGAAGATCCCACATGCCGTGGAGTGGCTGGGCCCGTGAGCCGTGGCCGCTGAGCCTAAGCGTCCGGAGCCTGTGCTCCGCAACGGGAGAGGCTGCGACAGTGAGAGGGCCGCGTACCGCCAAAAAAAAAAAAAAAAAAAAAAAAGATGGGTGGGTGGCGGTACGCAGGGCACGTGGTAGAGAAAAGAGCTGGGGAGGGGAGTACGGAGCTGTTATGGTGATGGTGATGTTATGGTGATGCAGGATACAGCATGCCCATCGACCGTTTGTCATCAGGGTTCCCAGGGGAAAATTCCTCTTCCCTTGCCCAGCTCATACACATTAAACTGCACTCGGGTCAGAACTCAGACTCAGGAAGGAAATGCCTTTCATCCACATTCATGTGTTAACATTAGCAAACAAGCAAAGACCTCTCCAGGGAAACCACTACCTGGGCAAACCGTCTCTTCAGAAATGAAAGCAAGTGAAAGAAACAAGAGGGTCACTTGCCACTGGGTCCTATGTGACCACAGATAGGGGCAAAATGACCTTCCCCGAGTCACAGTGAGGGCTGGCACATAAATCCAGGCCAGGAGCCGAGAGCCACTTCTTCCTCCTCTGGCCCCAAAGTCCACCTGACCATACGGTTTTGCAGGATAAGAAATCCTATTATACAAAAATGACAACTCTGCAGTGACTGTGCAAACCCACTGTCGAAACTGCAGCTGGAACGTCTGATGCAGGCACAGAGGATTGGGTTAATTCGTTCCCAAGTATGAAATGAGGCGCGCAACTTGCCTTGGGAGGAAGCAAGGACAAAGAAATAAACTGGAAACCAACCTTCGACAGGGCGACCATCAGCTTGCGGAAGTCACCGGACGTGTCAGAAACGATATCCTTCTCCAGGTCGGTCTTGTACACTCGGGAAACAGAACAACACATCTGGTTTGATGCTTCCTGCCTGTGCAGCCAGCCAGCCACCCGTCCCACTTACCCCCTTGCCCACTAAGCCTCTCAAAGGCAGAAACAGCTGTGGCAGCATGGATGTACCCACCCAAAGGAGATGGACTCTCTAGAATGATTTTTACCCTCATGAAATCAGAACCAGTGTTATTATCAGTGACAGGGGACACGCAGAGCAGGATCAGACCAGGGATCTTCAAGCTCACCTTTGATCAGTGACTTCCTGGGTAGCTAAAATACTGGTTCCCAAACTTCTTGACTATACTTATTTGGATCATCAAAAAATTTGGAGGACTACGTACACACACATAGACAACTGCGGTTTATTATCTACTGATCAAGAAAATGCACAATGGCAGAAACCAGTAAGAATTAAAGAGTACTTTTCAATGAATTTGTACTTTGTTATTCAAAATAGCATCTATGTTTAAATGTAGTGGTACCACATACACACGTAAGCTGCATCATTTACTCCACCCGGGTCTGCTACACTGCTTGGTGCACAAAGGTCCGTGTGCCTCTTGCAACAGTGATCCACAGTCAAGAGCTGGGAACCTCCTCAGCAGAAACTGGACAGCACCCATTCCAAGAAATCCATGTAAAATACTTTCTACTTCTCCCCATCAGATCTCTTTTTTCTTTTTTGTTTGTTTTCTCTGCTTTCGCTCCTGTATATCCTTTTGTATTAGTTCTAAGAGAATATAATCATCAAAACCCAGGCCATCAGGAGATGGAGGAGAGGGACCTGGGACAGAGCAAAGCCCTGGACGGTCCAGATGGCAAGCATTTCTCCACAAGTAATCCAGGCACCCTATCCTGAACACCAGCCCAGCAGGCCAGGATGGGGGTCACAGAAACAGGGCTGAGAGGGTACACCACAGAACTAGGGCTACTCACTTTCCTTGTAGACTCTGTTGATTTCCTGCAGCTCCTGGTTGGTCCTCGAGCAGATGATCTCAATGAGGGAGTCCTCATCGGTCCCCAGCCCCTGCGAACCGGGCATTGCAGACATCAGCAGGGAAAGCCCTCCAGGCCTTTAGCCCACTTCCCTGATCTCAATCAGGTAAATTACACACACAGATGGGGTGCGTAGCACGCGCCTTCCTGCATTCCTTCTGAGGGATCTGTACGGCATTCATCAGCACAAGGTAAAGTTATATTCTATTCCTTTAAAAAAATGCTTCATCAATGGGCTTCCCTGGTGGCACAGTGGTTGAGAGTCCGCCTGCTGATGCAGGGGACACGGGTTCGTGCCCCGGTCCGGGAAGATCCCACATGCCGCGGAGCTGCTGGGCCCGTGAGCCGTGCTCGCTGAGCCTGCGCGTCCGGAGCCTGTGTTCCGCAACGGGAGACGCCACAACAGTGAGAGGCCCGCGTACCGCAAAAAAAAAAAAAAAAAAGCTTCATCAAAATAAAAGATGGTTTAACTGACATGTTTTTTTTAGCTCAACTATATTAAAAAATTTTTTTTCCACTATATATAAATATATAGTGAAATGGGAAGAGACAGCAACGGAATACACCAAAATGTTAAAAGTGGTTGCCTTTTGGCGATGGGTTTATAAACTGAATAACTTTATCGTCTCCCTATGTTTCTTTATTTTTCAACTTCTCTAATAATCGGCCATTACTTTAATAGATGAGAAATAATTTTCTTTATTGTACAATTCTGCTCAGAAATTGAAAACAAAGGAATACAGAGATTTTATGCTGTCATTTGCAGCCAGCGTCATTAGATTGGAGTAAGTCTTTTACGAGGGAAAGGTATAGATAAGATAAAATTTTTAGCTTTACCTCTTTGAAATGTAAAATTGGGTTAATGTTAAAAATTTCATTCTTGTACTTCCATTTTTGCTTGATTGAGATGCACTCTTCGGGCATTTTAGAGAAGCAAAAGGAAATAATGAAGTGCCAGATAAACCTAGACACCAACACTTTATTAAGGAGTAAGAATTTAATGGGCGATATATTCAAATTTAATATATACACTTTTGAGCTGGCATGCCAGAGAGCTTGAAAGGACCCAATGAAACTTGTATTTCAAAGCTGGCTTCATGATCAAAGTCAAGATTTAATAATCAGGATTCTCTAATACTTGTCTTTCCGAGTATGGAAATATCACTTTGAACTAAGTAGAATTACAACTGTTTAAAATGTAAATCAATTATAAGGTGTTAATACAATAAGAAACTTACTTATCCACATGAAAAGTGTGTCAGCTATTAATTAAACTTATTAGAGTTTATATGCCCCTAAAAAAGTGGTTTATATAAGCTAAGCCTCAGGTTAATAGTTAATTTTGAATTTTATTCCTCATCTAATCTGAGCCAAGGCCTCTTCTCCCAGAGTTTTTAATCATGATTTGTAGAGGTGCTGGCAAAGACAAAATTTCTTCCCTTCTTAGCAAAAGGTCTACACAACATTCTATACAGATATTATAAAGAGATTACCAAGCATTTTCAAATATTTTAGGGGGCAGTTTTTCAATCTCAAGGATATATAATATAGTCTAAAAATAACTCATGCATTGGAAGAAATGCTATATCCTGACACTGTTGAAACGTAAAACAGGTATAGCAATAGAAGATTGGTTTTCTTTCATCACTGATATACCCATGTTAATATCAGAGAATTCTAATAGTATTTTTTCCTCTATATTTAAAGGTGACCTTGGCAATTTCAAACTTGGCCCAAGCTCTCCACAGACTGTCCACAGTTCCCATCACAAGGGCAACGTCTACTGTAACATATGGCAGATATTGCCACTGGTATTGCCAGAAGTCAAAACAGATTTTTTTTAAAGCATAGTTCAGTTCATGTCACTCCAAGCTTTATGGATTTCAGAAGGGTACTCAGCTGTGATAGCTAATGGAAGAGCTGGCACAAGGTCAAAGATCTAGCAGTCAAAGCACCTTTCATTGGACCCAATTACATAGATTACAATGGTGACTGACAGCTCAAGCAGGTCTGTTTCAAGTCACTACTACCTAGTGATAGATACTTATAAAATTGCGCAAATCACAACTAAATGAATTCTTGGCAAAAATAAGATAAACTGATCTGAAGTGATGATGGGCAGAAGAAACCTAGGAGAGGTCAGCTCATCCATGGTTCCAAAGGTCCCAAGACTGAGTGTTTTCAGTGTTCTTTTTATTAAACAGGATCATTAAGTGTTGTTGACATTTTATCATTCTGTCCAATATAGTCTACTTAGAAAACTCAGAGCAAGTCTGCTCAAATAAACTGAGCACAGCTTGGGCCAAGCTGGAAAACCGATTTCAGAGCAAATCTTTCAGCAGCCCTGAGCTATCAACTTCTGGGCCCTGGAAATACCCGGTGGGAAGCTGCCTCCCTCTCGAGGTGCTCTGTGGGGGAAGGGATGACAACTGAACTGTGACATTAGCTGGTGACTGACTTACAGCTCTGTCTCTCCATAATTCAGAAATGGTGGCATCACAGAAAATGCACTCGGACTTAGGAAAAAAAAAATCAGAACTACAGCTTTCCCTCCACTCTGAGGCTTTACCCAGTTTTACCAGCAGAGGGCAGTGTCAGATTATTCAAAGTGTTGCAGGCACACTTACGAAAAGGGTTCTGTGCTTTGCCATTAAACATGCACTTATGTTTATATATCCATTCCGTTTACATAATACTCGATGTTTTAGGTACACACAAAATTCAGGGGAACTTACAACCTGGAATTTTTACTATCTAATTTAACCTAAAAAAAATCCATGTTCAAAATAACTTTGCAAAATACAAACAAAAGACAAGTAGCATGTGCCTTGATACTTTGAACAAAACACAGGAACCATTCACGAGCTGAAATCACCCTTTATGTGCACTGTGATGCTCTGATTTTGCCCAAAATTTGAATCAAACAACAGGACAAGCAAGGAGGTCAGAAGAAACAACCACAACGGCATACGCAGATTTTTGTTAAGCTTCACTTAACAAACGCTATGAGTTTTACTTTTGCCTTAATATCATAACATATCTTTTTTAAAGAGGAAGTGTAATCAAGGAAGTCGCTTTTCCAAATGGTACCAATTGCCCAGGTGCCAAGCAGTAGCAGCTGGTAACTGACTTCTCTGCGTCATGAAATTTCTTTACAGTCTTAAAAAAAAGCAATTGAAATATTTTTGGTACAAATCCTGAGCCTTATAGCTTCAGTTCATTCCCCAAAAAATGATTCCAAATGAGAATTCAACATAACTGAAAATCACCTAATTACACTCAGGAAGCTGTAATTCACAAATATTAATGGCAAATTTGACAGAGATTGCATCTCACACGTGTTTACCTTCATGGAGGCTTTCAGCTCGGAAGCGTCATACTGAGCAGGTGTTTTCAATAGGCCCAAAATCACTGTCTCCAGGTGGCCGGACAAGGCTGACTTCAGTGCTGAGGCAAGTTCCTTCAGAAAAACAGGCAACAACATGGAAAATTTGGTTGGTAACCAATATTCCCTTTAAAACTAGTAAGACAAAAATAGAGGCATGTGGGGGCTTCCCTGGTGGCGCAGTGCTTGAGAGTCCGCCTGCCGATGCAGGGCACACGGGTTCGTGCCCCGATCTGGGAAGATCCCACATGCCGCGCAGCCATGGCCGCTGAGGCTGCGCGTCGGGAGCCTGTGCTCTGCAACGGGAGAGGCCACAGCAGTGAGAGGCCCGCGTACCGCAAAAAAAAAAAAAATAGAGGCATGTGTTTGTAAAGCAGGTTGTGTGATTCTTTGACAACTCCGGGGTGTTCGGTCAAAGTATCCTTCAACCACATTCCCTTTGGCAGACCCAAAGGTCAGAAATGGAAAGCTCAGACTTTCTGCCAGTAAAATCCCCTAAAATCCAAGCTGATTTTGCCCCCTCCTCCAGTCAGTAAAAGGAAACCAGAGCAGCATGCAATGCCTCAGAAAGCTATGAGTGAATGCAGTTTACAATACGCTTACACTCGCACGTGGTAACAGCCTATTTAAGACAGGGCACTTTCTAGGGTCAAGGCCCCTGCTAAGAAGGAGGTGATCAAAGTGGGGAGCCTCCAAGGAAGCAGAACCCTTGTGGCCTGCTGGTATCCTCCTGTGAAAGGTTTTGTGCAGCTGTGCAGAGGTGGCTCCAGAAAGTCTCCAGGTGGAACCAGAGGCCCCCACTTGGCTAGAAGTGATCTCATGAAGCTTTCCTATGCAAAACACTTCACCTAAGACTGAGAGAACCTCTATTTTCCATACCAAACTGGAACGGTATTATCAAGATGGTGGGGACTAAAGCCCTCCCCATTCACCGCTGGGCTTCCCTGCTGTATATTGTTTCTTAAAGGTTTCCACTGTTACCATTAAAATCCACTGACAGATTTCAAGTCAGAGGCCTGAGTCAGCACCCACACTGGCAGACAGATATCCCAATTCGATGTGGCTTTGACAGATGCTTCCTCGGGGATTAGATTTCCTACAAATCATGGGCACTGAGTGATGACTGAACTCTCCTGTTATAATTATTTTTTTTCTTTCTTTTCACTTTTCCCCCGCCTCTTCTCTCTTCCTCTCCTGCTTTCCAGCAGCACCCATGTCTTCTACGACATTTAGCCCCTAGAGGTGATGTGCAGCCTGCTTCAGAGAGAATCTTCTCAAATCATTCACAGATGTCGACGACTGAGATGGGTCTTAGAAATCATCTGGCCCAACCCTTTCATCACCTACTTTCTCCTGCTTCCTGAAGTCCTAGTAACACAGAGCACTTAGGAGAGAACTTTAGAAGCTACACCTTCCAATTACAGCACCAATTTTCCGGCGTGGAACTCTGAGGTTAGGTAATTCCAAACTTAGCCTACCCTGACACTCCCCTCTACCCATTCTCTGTTCAGACTTCAAACAGCATTTGGGCACCTACTGGCTTCTTCCACTTCTATAATAAACTCCTTATGGGCAGCCAACTTCCTGCTTCTCATAATGTCAAGCGCAGGGCTTTCTTTGCACTTAGCAAAGAATATTTGTCCAGATATGTTTGACAAATAAAATATGACCATTCCTTCTATGGAGAAACCTGGCATCTGCTCGAACACGAAAGAAATATAACATTGATCCTCTGTCCCAGTTCCTGTCCACTTCTACTAGCTGTACCCATGCTGTTCAAGCCCCTCACCTAGGCAGCCTCGGTCCCTGTTGTTAAAGTACTCTACAATACAGGGCCTCCTCCTTTATTATGCAAACAATAAGGTTCTGCTTTCAGGATTTCCTTCAGAAAGTATCTCTAGTATTTTATGTATCTTTCTTAAAATGTGATAATTCTCCTTAGCCCAGGGCTAAGAGGTATCAAGAATCATAGGATAGTGAGTTGTCCCCAGCCCACCATGAAGCCTGTGAGGTCACCAAACCCATCATGATTCTGTAACATCATCCCTCCAGCAGGGTACGTGAGAGCTTTGTCCTCCATATTATCTCATCTGAAATCGAAATCCGGGCTTCTATATTTCTATGTACACTTATGTGTCCACACCCAAGTGTGTTTCAAGACCACACTCTGTAAGTGACAACTGAAGGAGCAATTACAGGCATATTGTCCAAAGAGGTGGGCCTTCTGCTCCAACTGGAACTCAGCTCTATCAGCTCACAGATCCTTTTGGGAAAGTGGAGAAATAAACACTCCCTTCCATGCCTCACTATAGCAGATTAATGTCAGTCTAGCTGGAAGAAAAATTTTAATGCATATGAGAGGAAACAAGCTGCATGCTTTCCTATTTATGTCCTTTCCAACTGTTTTGAGAGGTGGGAGAGGGAGATATCTGCAACTTCCTGGACCCTGGTGGTCATGTCAACTCCAAGTGCAGAAATGCCTTTTCTAGAATCCTTCCAGCTCACCTCCACTGTGACTACGAGTGAAAGCCATAAGTCAAACGGGAGCTGCAGGAAGCCATGCTTACTGCACCGTCCAAGAATAAATCAAAAGCTTTTAATAGCAAGAAGTTAAAAATAAAGCAGCCTGTCTGTAAAAATAAATTTCCTAACACTGCGACAAAATAAAGGATGAACAAGTGCTGGGCTGTTCCTTAACCACTCGTGGACAAGCAAGGGAAAAAAGCACACAAGACCCTTTAAATAGTGAGAGCATGGCAAGGTGAAGATAGCCTAGAGACCAAACGAACTACTAAACTAAACCTGGTGGTTGCAAAGATCTTAGGAATTCAACTGTGTTTTTTTTAGGAATGAGAGGAGTGTGTCAGGATCAGTACTCAAATGGAGGCTAGTGTCCCAAGATTAAATTTAAAACATTTTATCAAGAACCAGCAGGAGTCATAACGATGAGATGAGTGGCCACATGTAGAGAACGGCATACCTGGCACAAAGGTTAGCACTCAATAAATGATACCTATTGCTGTTTCCCCCATCCTTTCTATTTCCAGAACTGCTCCCTTTACACCCTCTGGGTTGGAAGAGGGTGTGGTCTTTATGCATAAGCTCCAAACACCCCAGGAGACACGTACATGTGAGTTGTGACTCTTACAGGATGTAAGGGGAAAACCTTGGATCTCCTAGGGTTCGACAAGGCGCTTGCTGGGAAGAGCCAGAATTCACAAAAAGAAAAAGCAATGGCTGAGGAACTGAAATGCAACATGGAATGCCCTCCATCCCTGAACCTGCTGTACCTTTTTGGTCCTTCTCTGGTAGGCGAAGGCAATATCCTGTCTCTGTTCATTGCTGCGGTTGGTCAAAATGTTGACGATGGTGACCTCATCCACACCTATGAAGACACAAGTAGTGAGTAGTTACTCAACCATATGCTCTAGTTCTCTGGGCTTACATAGAAGGTTTTCAGCATGTTTTCAACCTGAAATGTATATATTAGTCCCTGAAGTGAAATACCAAGACATTAAGATGTTTTCTTTCTTTTTGTCAGCACCCTCCACCCAACAGGTATACCCTTTTTTCTGTTTTTCCTGACAGCCTCAAACCTCAAGTCTAAATGGACCTTTTTAAGTATCTGTATTAAAAACAAAAACAAAAACAAAAACCTATTTCATTCATAAATTGGGTTTCTGGACTCAACAGTAGGAGGTGCATTTGTGGGGCTTTGGCAGTCAGATGGAACAAAGATTTAGAAAGATTTTAAATGAAGGTCCCCGAATTACCATTTAACTGAGGTTTTAATAGACAGTAACCGTGACCTGAATTAACAGAGACAATTATTTATATTTATTGCAGAATTATGGCTATATAAGCAGCTAGGTACAATTTCTATAATTATATAAACTGTCATGACAAATGAGTCAGATTTAATATGGCAGTTGTATTTTAATAGCATAATTGATTAATACAATCCTACTTACTGAAGACTAAATTGTTTTGTAAGGAAAATAAATGTTCCACTGCTTTTAATATTCAATAGGCAATTTTAATAATCAATTTTGTAACTTTATTAAAAAGAATAATGTTTTAATCTAAATCTAAACTGGGAGTTTTGAAGTGCCACCAAAATATTTTAGTACCTATTTTAATTGGAACATGTGTATTTACAAAGATAAGCAATGCCTTCTGGTATCTGAAAGTTTCCAATTTAGATCAGAAATACTCTTAACATGCCATTTAACTTAAGGAAGCACTATTTTAAGAATTCAGAAAGTGAAAGGTCTCTCTCCTGATTATGAACTTTGTTTAATAAAAAGAAGTCTTTGCCATAACTGGATAGGTGATTCCTGAGTGAGAAACAGCAGAGTGGTTAAGCCTCCAGGGTCACACGTGAACTGCAAACAGCCCAGCCTATAGGAAATCAGGAGTTCCAAAGCGATAGAAAGGTCAGAACGATAATGCTCTGAGACAGAGGCAATGAGCAGACTTACAAAGGAGGTATTCTAAACTCTCAAGTGTGTTAGAAAGATCAAAAAGCAGGAAGTTACAATTTCTGGGTATAAAAGTAAGTAACATTTTTGTATTTACATACTCATTTTTAAGTGAATGCATACCAATACGTTAGTTACCTTAACTGCAGCATTTATACCTTTAGCTCTGATTTTCAGAGTAGCCGGTGTCAATGCAGAAACCCAACTGCTGAATATGAGATTGTTTCAAAGATGCTTATTTTGGCAAAAAATAAAGGGGGAAAATGTCTAATAATAGATTGATTAAATAAATGTTTTTGTCCTTATAATGGGATAATATACAGACATTTAAAATGACGGTACAAAGTATTAAATGACATGAAAAAATGCTCACAACATACTGTTAAGTAAAAACACAGGTTGCAAAACAGTACACCCAATCTAACCTGAGTTTTGTTAAAGGCATGCTCATGTGTAAGAAAATATGTTGAACCCTTCATACCAAAAACAAATATTTTAATTTTTATTGGAGTATAGTTGATTCACAATACTGTGTTAGTTTATACCAAAATTTTAATAGGGATCATCTGAGTGGTAGGACTACAGATAATTTCAAGTTTTCTTCCTTTTGATTAACTATAGTTTCCAATTCACTATGATGAGCACAAGAAGGGTATTTTTAAAATATATACACCATGAATGACATATAATCATTGATCTAGAATCAACAAGTGACTTCACCTCAAGAGATTCCTAGTGTGGTTCTAAATACTTTAGTTAGAATAGAACACGATATGCATGATATTCAGGAACTGTATCTATATCATTCTCTTTGGTTTCCAAAACATCCTAACGCAAACCATCTTATGTAACCCTCACAACAACCATGTGGGATGGTTATTTCTCTTCCTTGTTTACAGATGGGGAAGCTTGAAGCTTAGAGGGACAGAGGTCCAGCTCTGCCACTGTTACCGTGGAAGCATCTGTCCTCCTGGGGTCTTAGCATCTACACTTGCGTGAGGAAGGGACTTGAACAATGACCTCCAGTTCTGCTTCCACGAAAGACTAACACAGAAAATCGACCTTTTTAAAAAAAAAGTCTATTCTACAGAATGTACTGCAACTTTTTTATTATTTATTTATTTATTTATTTATTTATTTATTTTGGCTGCACCGGGTCTTAGTTGTGGCATGCGGACTTCTTAGTTGTGGCACGTGGATCTTTTTAGTTGCGGCATGCGGACTGTTAGTTGCAACATGCATGTGGGATCTAGTTCCCCGACCCGGGGCCCCCTGCGTTGGGAGGATGGAGTCCTACCCACTGGACCACCAGGGAAGTCCCAAAAATTGAGCTTAGGTACAGGCTGGATAGATTTCTTCACAGACTTGTTAAGGCTTACCAGGCTAGTTTCGTGGATGTATCTGGTCACATGGGCATGCGTGCCTGCCCACATACGTGTGTTTACTTATGCTCTCTCTCGCTCTCAATATTCTATAGCTCTAACTTTATATTAAGAAAACCACTTGTTTATAAACGTCTTTTTCCTTTACACTTAAATTTCTTACGCAAATCTGAAAATGCTGCAGAATAACAAAATACAATTATACCCTCTAATCTCAACTCTAATATTTCCTAAAACCAATCTTTGGGCTGCTGACCTAAACGCATGCCAAGAACACCGACCCATAAAAAATTATTCCCCCTTGGAAACAAATGCAAAGTTGTATTTGTGTCAGAATGTGGTCCTGAGCCCACCTGAATGACAATCACATGAAGCACTTATTAAAAACACAGCTCCTATGTATAAAGTAGATAAGCAACAAGGATATACTGTACAGCATATTATAGGGAATATAATAGCCATATTATAGGGAATTATAGCCATTATCTTACAATAACCTATAATGGAGTATAATTTGCAAAACTACCAAATCACTATGCTGTATAACTGAAACTAATATAATACTGTAAATCAGCTGTACTTCAATTTAAAAAATTAAAGAGAAAAAAAAAACAACAACACAGCTCCCTGGGCCTCCCTGCCCCCTGAGATATGACTAAAGACTCTTGTGGACTTTGGACCTGGGAAGCAGCATTTCAACCAGCTCCCTGGTGACTCTTTATTTGAGAATCGCCAACAGAGATGGAAAAGCATGGGTGGAGAGTGGAAAGGTCGTTGGAAATCTGCCTGTGTATAAGACTATTAAATTGCTTCTACCAACTGCTTCTGTTAGGTGCAGGGTCAACT